GGGGGGGGGGGGGGTCGGCGCAGCCTGCAAAACTTGGACAAAGATTACAACGTGTGCTTTCTTTCGCCGCGTTTGATCTGACAATGATGTGATTAATGATGAGAATGATGTAAATGTTTCGGAAAGTTAGTGGAAAGTAATGACCGATCCTTGACCTGATAAAAAATGTGAACAGACTAAACATACTGATGAATCATGGACATGATGAAACAACCCTGACAAATTACAACAATCATAACAGCTTAGGAAAAACGATTAACAAAATTATGCATTATCATGAAGATGATCATGGCTATGCTGAAGCGTGATGGGGACTGGCGAAAGCTGATGAAAAATGATCATACCTGATGAAAACCATGCACATGATGGACAATCCTTCCTTCCATCCTCGTTCCTTCCTTCCTTCCTGCTTCTTTCTGTCCTTCCTGCCTTCCTTCATTTGGCGTGGTTCCCACGAAAATGTGAGGATGCTCGACCCGAAAACTGAGTTTGGCGCTGGAATTCGACGACGAGAGACCAATTCCGAACCAGAATGCAAGAAGGCTCCAAGCCACAGCTGGATTTCAGGCTAGAATTTAGGATGCTCCACGCGAGAGCTAGGATCCAAGAAAATCGATAAGGACCAATCAAAATTCAGAAATCCCCATGTGAGAGATCCATTTCCTGCATTCATTTTCTTCTTGATCATTCTTTTATGTTCTTGCTGCTTACTTGAGTTGCCTTTGATCCGTATCCCCTGCATGGCTCGTTCGCCTCACCCCGTCCATTCACACACGAGCGGAACGAAGCGGTGGCTGAGGGAAATCGGCCGTGCTTGAATCGGGGGAGTGTGAACTTGTTGGGCATCACTCCCCAATTTACATTCTCGTTTTCATTCTGCAAGCAAACTCAGCGCCCTGATGGTAGTACAGCAGGCGGTGGCAGCGCTTTTGGTGCCAGTGTCAGTGCTGTGAGCGATCTACTTTTTGCAGTGTCTGCATCCACATTTTGACATTTGCTTTCGCACTGCTTCAGACATCCGAGCTGACACCAGCACTGGCTGCTGTGTGGGTTTCAGTGCCAGCTTCAGTCTTCAGGTACAGTATACTCGATTTACCAGTAGCATCAAGGAATAGTTCGTAGAATCACTACGTCTCCTCCTGCGAGATGTTGGCCGAGCCGCACCATCAGCTGAAGCCCAAGCTCCCAACTTGCTCGGCCGCCTGCCAGGGAACCATATTGTTGTGGAGTCGGGCTATCAATCATGATTACAAATGCCCTGGAAGCAGGTCATAACCCCAACTAACCACAAAATAACACTCGACCATATGCTCATCATATCCGTGGGCCGTCTGGCCGGCCCGGCTCTTAGCGCTTAGCGTGCCTTGGCCTGGCAACGCCCGAGCTCCAAAGGCGCCTAAGGCTGCGCTCACGACAGCAGAGTTCAGTCGGAGCCTTGAAGTCTTCAAATCTGCAAGGACGCTCAGCAAGCTCTTCAGCTGCTGCCCCTTTGCCAGCGCATGTAGAAGCACGCCAAAGATAGCCATGTCTTGCTGCACTGAAGCCTTTCTCAAAAGCCGCAGGGTATGAAGCCACTGCTGCGCCCTGGAAACCGTCCCAGCCACGGCCGTAAAAAACTGAGGATCTGGACAGATCTCGGATGCAGGCTCAACTTGCTGGCATGCAAGTTTCCATAAGGCACATGATGAGAAGGCTCCAGTGATAGTGGTGTGTAAATGGATGCTTGGCCGTAATCTCATCCAAGCCAATTGGTCAACCAAACTAAGAGCTTCTGACCAAAGCTCTTCCAAAGCGCAGGCCCTTGCCTGCAAAGAAGCCGCATCGTTAATGTCCTTTGCGGTGTATTCCATCTGCAGCAACTGGACCAACTGCCATCTGCTTCCAGACAGCGCCGCGTGCCTCGCCGCTGCATCAGCCTCTACTCTCATGCAGCTCATCCGCTGCAAAAGATTGCATGCCTTCTGCCAGAGCTTCATGCTTGTCAGGGAGCTCAAGACTATTGTGAATTCCTTCGCCGACTGCAGCTGCCCATCGGCTTGCAGCGAGTCGATGGCGTTCAATGCAGCCTGACAATTTCAAGACTCAGGCCAAGAAAGTGCAGCTGTAAAAGGCTTCGTGTGTTGTCTCGCTCTCCGTGCAACCAACACAAGCCAAGATGCGTTGTCAATACTCGTCCCAGGTGCCCGCTTGCCTCGAACTGCACACTGGCAACTACACACGGACGAGCCCAGTCCCCAACATTATGCATAGGTTGGGAACTAACCCCCAGCCAGTAGCTGTTTATAACAAGGGTCAAATTAAGGGCAATAAGAATAATAGCAATAATAGTAGGAAGAATGATAACAATACGAGAAATAACTAACACCAGGCATACTAATCACAATAGTAGTAGTAGTAGTAGTAGCAGCAGTAGTAGTAGTAGTAATAGTAATACTAGTAATGATAATAGTAATACTTACAATAGTACCGTCATACTACTACTATTATTAATATTAATAATCCTTACCTCGCATTTAGACAAGCCCAGACTGCAAGGGAGTCACGTCGCAGGATGAGTCGAAGCAATGAAGCCTTTTTCGCTGTCGGCAGCACGCCATTACAAGAGGGTTTCGTCATGCGTAGGGTTTAGGGGTTAGGTCTGTGGCCAAGAGAAAAAAAGCTGCGGAGAGCCTTGATTAAGGAATAGATTCAGAGAAGCAAGTGTTGAGGGAAGCTAGAACCCAAAGGCGGGGGCCCTGAAAATATCTGAAATTGTATTTTTACTCTCTTGTATGCAAATTAGTACTATCGCAAGTAGTATCATTCGAATTACTATTACTACTACCATTCCCATAATTGCTGTTCAAGTATTACTAGTATGACTATTAAGAACATGGCAGGTTTGCGGAATGCAGCTCCCTCAACTCCTCCACCAGTACCTTGAAGAGCGGCCGCTCTGCTGGCACCCTGGGCGACAACTGGCTCCACGTGAGCTCTAGTCTGCACTCCATAAAGGGGGTTATGCAGGGGACTATATAGGGGAGCAAGGCTCCAGCTTACATGGGGCCAAAGGAGCGAAACCCTCTCATCTGTGTAAACTTCATGGCTTGGAGCATGCCCCACGGGATCAATTTCGCACATCTTAGCACGGCGCGGCTGGATGCATCGGAAGGCCACCTCACTGCATCTTCTCCTCTCTTGCTTCATCTTCTTCCGCTCCCCTCCAGTGACTGACTTTAGTCTGTGTTCCTCTACTACTGCCATTTTTTTGTGTTACTTTCGCGTCAGGTTAGCTTCCTTGCTCTTGTGCAAGGCAAGGCCGCATTCTCTGTTCTTCTCATTCGTCGGCACAAGAAGCAGAGGCCAAAGCATCGGTCATCGCTTGTGAGACTGATGGCGGGAAGTGGCCCGTCTGGTCCAACATCTGCAGCACCTCCCAAAGAATGTCTCAAGTGTTATTGTAATGCATTAATATAGGGATAATGGAAAAGAACATGAAAACCACTATAGAGTAGGTTTTCAGGGAATAGGGATAATGGAAAAGAAAATGGAAACCACTATAGAGTAGGTTTTCAGGGAATAAGTATAATGGAAAAGAAAATGGAAACTACTACAGTATAATAGGGTCTATATTGGGGTTATATGGGGATAATGGAAAAGCAAATGGAAACTACTATAATGGGTTATATAGGGTTTAGGGTTTAGGAATGGTCCTGCCCTTGCAGTCCAACAGGCCTTGGCCTTGCTGCCGCGAATGTGATCCACCAGGTAGCTGAACCTTTCACAACGCGGTTTAGGGTTTAGGGTTTAGGGTAACCCGTTATAGTAGTTTCCATTTGCTTTTCCATCATCCCCATATAACCCCACTATAAACCCTATTATAGTGTAGTAGTTTCCATTTGCTTTTCCATTATCCCTATATAACCCCAAGCGGTCAATTGGTGCAATGACATCAGGGATGCACGGCAGATACCCCTCGAGTGCTGTCGCTTTGTAAGCATGTTTTCATCCGGCTTTGTTCCAGCTGACCCAAGCAACACGACTTTGGTTGCTTGGAAGGCTCATCGCCACGACGTCATATGAGTCACATGGGCTTTTCTCCGAATTGTGAGCCCTTCGCAGGGTACCACGTTGGGTGCAGAAAGACGCAACCCTTTTTTTGGGAAAGGACTCATGTTCTAGCACAGGGGATCACAGATCATCTCGTTCAACCTGATCCTGCAGCCACTGCTCCAGCAGACTCTTTGGCACGCAGCCTGTTGGCCTTCTGACCTGCCCTTCTCAATAAGATGACTGGCATTCCCCTTGCACTTCAGCTGGCTCATGCAACAAGCTTCTGGATGGAGATAACCGAAGCTAAGCCACCGCAGAAAGCACCAAAAACAAGTACAATGATCCATGACAGCACCCTGCGGCTCTTGCTCAGCTGCATGCCCCTCCATGTGCCTTCAGCTAGGAGGGCTAGGTGTGGCAGAATGTAAATACAAACGGAATTGCCCACAGCGCCGGCGACTGCTAGAAAATCCCCAAAGCGAGGCACTACCACTGCTACAGCACCGACAGTCAGCACCGCCGCTGATCGCCAAGCCCTTTTCCAACAATTGTCGTAGCAAGGATGGAGTGCCTCGAAATTTCGAAATAAAACGAACAGGCTTGCAGGGAAAGTCAGGAGTAGCTGAAGGACGTAACAAAGCACAGCTACTCGATGCAGGACCGTCATCTCAAAGCCTTGAGACATAGTGACTTCCTGTGCAACTTCTCCGACCTGTAGGTAAGAATATAAGAAGTCACCGCAGATCGCCAACAGCATGTAATTCAGTGAGAAGAATGTCACTGCCAGAAACAGTGACCAGCTAAGGAGCTTAGGCTTCTGCATGGAAGCAGCCACACTGGGCGATAGCACAACCAATCCCTCGTTGCAGAAAACTGCTAATCCCATGGCCACGGGGAAGGTCTTCATCCGCAGGAAGGGCTCGGCTGCCAAGTATTCTGGAAAGTCGTGCAAGTGGGGAATAACACCAATGGCGATCAGAAGCACGAACAGCTGACCAGCAAGTAGCCCCAACCGTGAGAGCCGCTGCAGTGCTGCTATCTCATCCACTAATGCAGATAACGCAACCGGACCAACCAAAATTAGGACCCAGCCTGCACTTGATATGCCAAGTGGCAGAAAGCGAGCTAAGTTGTCCCCGATGAATTTCAGCCATGCTACCGCAGAGCCCCAGTTTGCCACGACAAGTGACAGGACGGCAAGCGTCTCACCTAGCAAAGCCCAGCCCCCAAGATTACATGAGCGGCTACCGTAGGGGCATATAGGGATACCTTCACTTCATCATTTTTCACTGAGACCTCCTCTACACTCAGACCAAAGCACTCATTCCAAAGGGTTAGATTCGTTTAGGACATTTTGTGAAAGGCATGCTACATGATCCCTGGATTTCCGCACAAAGCCCTCCCAACGTGACGATTTCCGTGAAAAGCAACTTACAGAAACTGATGGGCAATCGATCAAACCCACCAACGGGAATCTAGAGGTGAGCCTAGCCTGACGGCTTTGCAATTCCGAGCCCCGGCAGGGTTTAGGGTTCACGGATTTCCTTTCACATGTCTTGTGAGCTGGTGGAAAGCCTGCTTCATGATCTACAGTCCCCTTTGCGACCTGACTCCTCAATCCTTGCCCCACTGCTTTGGGTTTGTTCTCTACTGTTTGTTCAACCTCAACGTCGTATCTCCAACCTGGCTTCATCTGGTTCAGACTAGACGCGCTGAGGCACACTATTGTCTGTTGGGGGCCCAGGTTGCTTTCCGGCCCAAAGCTTTTATTCTCACTTAGCAGTCGTAATTCGCCAATGGCCCACTCGCTACCATAACAAGAATCACTGAGCTTGCACCATGCACGACCAGGGGAGCCTGCACGACCCAGAGACCTTCCAATCAGCAGGACATAGGAGGCCTCAAGCACCCCTGGGTCACCACTGTTCTGTAGCTGCTGCAGCACTAGTGCAGCGTCGGCCGCCAAAAGCATGCTGAGCAGGAAGAAAAGCACACCCGCTCCAAGTCCAGCAGAATGCAGGTAAAACGGCATTGCGATCATTCCGATGCCCCAGTTTATTTTCGTAAGCAAGAGTGCAGCCCCAGCTGAGTTGAGCTCATAGCAACCATTGCCAGCGCTGCAGGATTGTGTCGGCCGATCTGCAGAAAGGTTCCGCTGCAAGTCAGACTGCCCTTGAGGGGACATGAATCCTCTAGCCATGGCATGCCGCGGCAAGTGGATGATCCATCGGGCAAGGGCCTGAGCCTTCTCCTTGCCTTCCTTATGTTGAGCATGTGCAAGTGATGGGCAAGGAAAATTATGCGCGTAGCCGAAGAGACGCTAGCGGATAGCAGCCTGGCAGTTGCTACACAATCTCGCGCTCCTTTTTGCAGAGCAGTCCCGCATTCTGGCCTAAAGAGGTCGCCTGTTGGAGTTGCCTTGTCGAGGTTGCACGGGCTGGGCATCGATAACTCTTCCAGCATGTTCCGAAAAACGATCCAGATCTTCGGACTGGTTTCGGGAGAGACTTCTCTTGTAAGCGTCTGCAGAGCCATTCAGTGCTGCGCAAGCTACAAAAACCAAACCAAAGCAGAAGAGCAGAAATGCCACAAAGCCGATGATTCCAAAGACCTTCACATAATCCGTGGCTTCCTCTGTCTGTACTCCGGGTCCACAGGCTCGGGCGACGCGCTCACCGGCCACCATGGTCGCAGCTTCTGGAAAAGATCGGGAACATTCGTCAGAGTACCCATACCAACAACCATCTCGAGTGCTGTGCTCCCAGATTGAGCAAGCCGAGTCAGCATAGCAAACATCTCGACATTGCAGAACTTCTGTCTTGTACGTGCCGCCCATGGGGCTTTTGGCCCGTACGTCGGCCTGCTTCATCCCGACCCCACGGCACCACCGTCCCTTTTCCAAGCTGATGGTCTCTGAGACTGTGCCATGCGAGATACGCTGACCAGCTAGAACCAGCAGGTCATCGAAGCGCTCGCTCTGGCACTCCAGGCCACGGCCAGTGTAACATAGGCCAAGTTTGGAGCCAGAATTGTCTCGAGTATTGCCCCACTGCCAAACCTCGCAATCGGCATCATCGCAACAGATTCCCCGGCAGGCTTCCGGAGTGGTTGAACTGCTTTGCAGCTGCAATCCAAGACAAAGACCCTCCCAACCGTTGGCCACATCTTGGATTACTTGGCATTGACCACATGGGATGGGCATGGGTGCGCAGGTAGTGAAACAGTGTGTTCCCCGTGCTTGGGTTTACATTACCTTTTGGGCATATCGAGCCGGTTCCAACCTGCAAGCAGTGCAAAGATACTCTCCTGACTTCAACTCTTGCATTGATCATGCAATGATCCGCACTGCCAGGGCCCAAGCTCTCCTGGACAGTTGGGTTTTGCAACTGCAGGCCTCAGGGACAAAGATCAAAGAAGCCTCCCGGCTCTCTGGATGCTTCAAGGCCTTCTGTGCGGTGTGCCTGCTCTCATGATTACATCTTTTACACCTTGGGAATCCAGCGGTGCACCAGTCAGCACTTCCAGCACCACCATGCCAAAGCTGTGCACCTCGCAGTGTATTTGTCAAGACTTCCAAGAAGACTGTAGGTTCACCCTATGCCATCCCCAGCCTCACTGCCCTCCGTGATGATGCCAGTTCGGATGTATCTGGCAAATGCGCGAAGTTGACAGGCGACACTCAAAAGGAGAACAGGCACGGCAGGCTCTGGGCAGGCATAGCCAACAGTGCCGCTGGCCTGCAAAGGTATAGTCCCCCTTAAATAGATAGAATCTGGTTTTGGAGATATTCATAATAAGATCCCCAAATCCCCCATATTCTATCTACTTAAGGGGGACTATATGCTTTCCGAACTATTTAACACGTTTTAGATTCTGGGGCCTGGCCTGTTGGACCTTGTGCTGGGCACCCGCTGACACCTTGCAAGTGACAAGGACCTTCTGGGAATATCTGTATATATATATATAAAATATATAATGGAATATTATATGTATGACATTCTATTGAGGCTACATAGGGGTTATATACGGATAATGGAAGAGACAATGGAAACTACTCTATTATGTGAAAGTCGAGGAAGGCACGCAAGAAAGCCCAAAGTCCGCCATTTTGGCAGTGCCTGGGCATTGCTTGTATATTTTGTTCGTGTAGTCTGGGTATCTGAGCATGAAAGGGGCACAGGCCATTCTTGTCAAGAAGAATGTTGGGCCCCTTGATGTCGCGATGGAAGGCCTGTAGGTGTGTAGACAGTTGGAACGGCTGAAGCTGGGCAGAAATATGGTAGTTTCCCAAAGTAGGGGGTGCAAATACAGATCCCAATATGTTGTAGTCCTTATTATAGGGACCTCCCCAAAAGGTACTCCTAATTTTGGGAAACCTCCTAATATGGGGCCCGGACCCTTGGCGTCATGTTGTGCAAATGGGACAAGCCACAGGCTGCGTCTAGGACGGCACTCAGCCGAGCTTTCCACTCGAACCTGGCGCTCTTTCAATCGCATGGTTGGATCAGAATCGACTCAGCAAATTCAGGCCAAAGGGAACGGCTCGTTGTTGTTCCTGCTTTTCTGGATTCGCCGAGTGACCTCACCAAGCTACAAGTCTGGACATGACTCAGCCGGTAGCCACACCGCACATCCCCGCGACTGGTGGTCCGATTCCAAGAAGCATCAATCATTGTCATGTGGAGCCAAGCTCGCTTACTTTGACAGGTTGTAGCTCTCAGGGCGGGACATCGCCGCCAGCCAGAAACTCATAGATGAGACTTCTCCAGCCCCTGCCATCTTCCATCTTGCGAGGCAGGCCTGCCTTTAAGCTATGTAGCGGCCTGCAGCAGATGCCCTATTGGGCAGAGCTGGGCAGCTTTTTTGAACCGGTTTGCACACATACAATGGTTCGGGGCTCAAAGCTGAAAGTCCACTTTGCCGCATCACGGCTTCTAGCCATGGGCATTGGGACAGACCTGTTCACTACAGAAGGGTGTTGCTGCTAACAGGGGTGGCTACAGAGACAGCTGACTCTGGAGAGACAGCGAGACAAACTGAAACTTACAGATAGGATAGAGTTTCGTTTAAAAACCCACGAGAAAGCGACGCAGTCGTTCATGCTGTCCATACTCCAGATCATATGAGGAATTGTGAAGCGGCTGTCATGAGGAGGACAAAATCCCTATCTTGCTTTGCGCTTTTGCTTGTCAGGTATTCGGCTTCACAGGATCCCGCTGGCAAAGAGTGAAACCATGCAGTAAACTTGAAAAAAAAAAAAAA